GCCAGGCCCCGGCTCGCTCGCTGGCTCCACCCACGACGGCGGGCGCGAGCACTGAGCTCCTATAGCGCGCGCGCCCGCCTGGGTCACGCGCACGTGAGGGCCGAGGCCGGGGCTGGCTTGAGAGGAAGGTAACACGGGAGAAGGACCGTACCATGTAGTCTAGGATGGGAGGGGGGGGGAAGACCCAGGTCATACCATGTGGCCTGGATCGTAACAATGGCCTGGTCTGGTGGCTCAGAGTTCCAGGCACAGGCATGGGGCAGAGGCTGCAGCAGCCCCAGACCAAGCTAAGGGCTTGGAGCAAGGGGCGAGCCTGGGGCAAAGGGCCTGCCCAACAGCCAGTGGGACGGAGGGTGACCCTGGGACATTGCCCCAGCTGCTGGCCTTGCAGCACCCACCCTGGGTATTGCCCAGACTCCCTGCTGGGGTTTGCCTTTATGCAGCTGTTTGGGGCTGCACCCTGGCCATGCGGGGCTGGCTCTGTCATTTGGCTGGCCCACTGGGTTCTCCAGGCACTGGCAGGCAGGGCACTCAGTTCATCTGTGCTGGCGCCGACAGACCCCACGGTGCTGCCAGCTGGTGTGACTCTGCCACGAGGCTGGTGATATTTGGGGTTTCTATTAAAGCCCCAGTCCCTGGAGTCATGTGCTCCTGGGAGACTCCGCTTTCATTCCATTTAAAAAAAAAATTGTCTAGCCAGTATGGTTGTGGGGGAAGAGCTTGAAAACATAATGCCTAAGGACTCAAAAACCAGAAGGGGGGAGGGGAGTCCTAACATTCTTTTTTGGGTGGGGGGGGAATCATGATTTTTAAGGCAATCTCTTGATTTTGGGGGGCCTGACTTGTGACTTTGGATGCCTGGGTTTGGCAAACTGAGCAAGGCAGCCCTGGCTCTCTCTGCAGCATCCTAGCACCTACTGACATCTTGTCCCAGGAAGGTAGAGGTGAGGAGTTGATGGGGCTAACCTGCTCTGTGTGGGTTTTGGGGGCTCAGTGGTTGGATGTGTCCATTCAAGAGGCTACAGTGTGGGTTTGTGAAAACTCTGAAAAGGTTGGTGTCCTGGAAGAGCTGTGGTCCTGTGGAAAGCACACAGTGGGGTTGTCTTCATCATGAGTATGTCGGCACCCCTGGTATTTACCCAGACAGGGGTGACTGCTGCCTTTGAGGGCTGAGAATAAATTGGTTGAGGCTTAACTCTTAAACTCAGAATCTCATCTCCATCCCTGAAATTCATTGTAGGCTAACAAGAGCTCTGAGTACCTTGAAAGCTGTTCTCTTTCACACAGGCGCCGACTTTCCAATGTGCCAGGGGGTGCTCGACCCCTGGCTCTGCCCCAGGCCCCGCCCCCACTCCACTCCTTCCCCCAAGGCCCCACCCCACCCACCTCTTTCCACCCCTGCCCCGCCTCTTCCTGCCCCATTCCGCCCCCTCCCCCAAAGTGCACCGCATCCTTGCTCCTCCTCCCACTGCCCCAGAGCCTCCTGCAAGCCGCAAAACAGCTGATTGCGGCAGGCAGGAGGCGCAGAGAGAGAGGGGGAGAGGTGCTGACCTGTGGGGCCGCTGGTGGGCCGGAGGCGCTGCGGGGAGGGGGAGGTTTTGATGGGGGCTGCTGGTGGGTGCTCAGCACCCACCATTTTTTCCCCGTGGGTGCTCCAGTCCTGGAGCACCCACGGAGTCGGAGCCTATGCTCTTTCACCAGCGGAAGTTGGTCCAATAAAAGATATTACCTCGCCCGTCTTGTCTCTCTAATATCTAACATAGCTACAACAACACCGCAAAGATAATTTGATTGTTGATTAAAACCACTGGCCCAAGTAGGAGGTGGAGGATGGGTGGCTGTATTGATTGCTGGCAAGGAGTTAAATAGTTGCCTGTTTTCCAAAAAGTGGAGCAAAACGCAGTCAACCTCCTGTTTAATTCAGAAGGGATGCTCAGGCAGGGTTCCCTGAGGAAGAGGAAGGAAGGGGACCCTGGGGAGGTCCCTGGGTGCAATGTTCTCTCCACAGGCTGCTCCTCCTTATTAAATAATAATAATTACATTTCCCTCTTCTCTACAACTTACCAGCTAAGGATCTCAAAGCCCTTGATGCTTCCTAGCACTCTTGTGGAGCGAGGCAGTATTATTTATCCCCATTTAGATCAGGAGAGGTGAAGTAACTTGCCCCATTTCATACAGTCGGTAAATGGCAGAGTGGGGAATAGACTCTCAGTGTTCTGCTGGAGCTGCAAGACTCCTTCCCCTCTATCCTTAAAGACAACTGCAGCTTCAGACTGTATTGTGGAGCTCCTCGCTAACCCTGCCCTAAAAGACGCTTTGCTTTTTAAGGTCATTTCCCAGATTTCTATACATCTAAATTTGCTTATGCTACATCGATCGTTCTCTTTAAGGTGGCAAATGCAAGCCATAGTCCAGTTGCTAATCATTTATCTAAACTGAGGGTATGAACTATCCCACGTTGAGCGGAAAAGTAAATCCAACTCTTGAGAGTTCCCATGGGCAGGATTTCACCGCCCGTTGATCTGCTAACAGATTTTTCCATATTACCATTTAGAAACATTTTCCATTTCAGTCCAAGCACCAAGCCGGGAAGGTTTCGTA